ATACGATTTTTATGATCTTTTATTTTTAATTATTTCAAATTGATATTGAAACAAACGAATTTCTTAAAATTCGTAAATCTCATTGAATATACTTCATAAATTTAGTACACAATATAAGTTTGTGTAAATATTGGAAGTATAACTAATTGTTCAATGATGCGAAGCAACATGTTCGAGCAAGATTGTTTACTGTTTGGTATATGTTGATAACTGTAATATAATTTCATCAATTACTATATTAAGTTTGAAATGAATTTCGAGTGCTAGGAGTTCCGATATATCTTTAATAAAATCAGCTAAGTGGACGATCAGCTAATTCGAAAGGATCCGGATATACTCACCGACAACTTCCAGGTAACCAGTTTGACTTTTCATTGGATCCGTATTAATCTGACACATATACCATCCCATGTCATCTTCTCTTACTTCTCGTATGTGAAGAAACCAGGTACGATGATCGCTGTGAGAGACGGAAATTCGATGGTTCTTTGTGATAATGTGAGTAGATATTGTCAATATTGTTTGTGTGTCTACGCGCAGCCATGCCACCTGAAACATATTTTTCATATATCACATTATATTCTGTAAAAGTAAGCGTTACGCTCTACTCGCAAGCTATAAGATCGATATAGCATGAACGATTAATATTAACGTCCCAAGTATCAAAATAGTCCAGTTGAAATTCTGTACTTTTCCGAATTTTCTTCCTACTAAAAATAATTTTATAGCTTGCAAGATTTTGTTTTCGTAGATCAGAAAAGTCGACAGTTTTCAATTGTAATCTCAACAATTCTTGTAATTGAAGTTTCAAGTTAGAAAGAAGTGTTGACATCATAAGATATTTATGATTTGACCACGCAAACGGATGACTGCACAGCTGTGTATCAATTTATGTTTCGCGCGAAAAGTCGTATATTTATTATTATCGAATTGAATTTACAATGATTCAATGTATTGCTCGTCCATGGAAGAAACAGAGAGCAATTCATTGACAAAAGAATGATTAATGCACTGAATGTATAAATTCGGTGAAAGATATATATATATTAGGGATGGAAAATGTTTTGGAACTTTTTAATAGAACAACAATAATTCGTTAGCCCAAAGTTAAGAGTGTTATAATTGATGTTTCTTTCCTCTTAAGATTATTTTTCATATTTTTTCGTCTCAATAAAAATATCTAAGATATTAATAAACATATGCAAAACTTTGTTTGCGTAAGACATATATTATACAATGTGTACGCGAAGGTATCGTATTCTGCACTCCTTAAAGAAGAAAACAGGTCATATAAACATAAATCCGGAAGCTCTTCGCCTTCGACATAAATACTTTTTGTTTGGGAGGTTGTATGTTAAAGAATTGTAACTTACTTACAGAAACCGTTGAAAATAATTTCCCTGTACTACGCTTCGTATCTACGTTTTATAGATTGCCGAATACGTTCAAAAAATCCTGGTGTATTTCGAATTTTGCCACATACCGGAAGTCCATAATTGCTTTGCTAAGAATTTATGAGAAAAATACAAAATATGATTTAACGCTGCTAAATATATCTACACTTTGAAATGACGTCTGCCTTTATTCACATTTTAACATCGACGAGTTATTGAATTTATTCTTGATTTTATTTGTTTGCGATTTTGTTGGTTGCTATTTGCGGGCGATGTTGATGTTTGTAATTCATTCGTCTCTTGTACGTTAGCGTTATTATTTCTTTCACATTTTTTATATTTGTTATAATTTCTCAACAAAGTATTTACGGACTTTTTATTATATAACATTTTAGCCTTATTTTCACTTGTAGAACACACTCCTGAAGTATGTATAGAAAAATGCGGGACATCACTATAGATTCTAGAACAATTATAATAAGCACGCTTTTATAGCAATTCTTCATGATATAAAAGAGTTAAAAATTCTACAGGAATTCCTTTAAATGAAAAATACAAGTAAAAAATGCTAATAGAACTTGTTCAGAAATGAGAGGTACATGTTTCTCGATCCCTGCAATATATCAAGTAACGAAATATAAACACTTTCACGATACAATAATACCGACAATAAATATTCGTTTTCGAATACCGTATTTTGGAATCTTTTATCATTCGTCTTATACACCAACCAAAGTATTTAAATTATCCAAATGTTCTTTACCCTGGAATTATACGGAGCAACGTTGCTCTTCTCGAAAGAGCCTCGGTTACGTCTGTAAATCGGTCTAACTATGTGGAAAAAGGGAAAAACGAAGAAAGGAAGGAAGAGTAAACTTTCTCTTTCCTACATATCTACACTTTGGGTACCGGTCGACGAAGAAAAGAGAAAGGAATGCGAGGGGGCAGGGCTCGGGGCAGAAACCTAAAAGGCCCACGTATGTTGGCATAAAAGCACGGCTGTTGGCTTGAAGTAAATCAAGCTGTTAAGAAAATGTGATCCGTTTGCAAAAAGAAATCCGAAGGTAGCAAAAACTATTCACACGGGGACCGCATTGAGGTTGTTCCGTCTGCCGATGTTGAATCGTCCGCGCGCGTCTGTATTTCCGGCGCTCCTTTGTGTCGCGGATACTAGCATGCGATCGCGTATTTTCCACGCTCATATCCACAAACGCCTCAGTATTGGTGCTGGCAATATTTTCGTTCGTGCCGCGTACATTTACGTTCAAAGGCGGGGGATAATGGAATTGCCGTTTCGGTGGGCAAACATTTATCCCCAGATATCTTTTAAACTTGTAATTTCTGAAGTAACGCATCCGTGATTGCGGTTCGCACAACGCGGATCGATCTTTGATTGTGTAAAATCAATTTCGAAAATGTCAACTTTTCTTACAGCGAGCTGGTATACAGTTAGGAAGAAAGAAAATGTTCGAAAGCCGTTTAAAACGGAATAACTTCTTTCAAATTGGATCAAATGACTAGTATTTTTTTTCCGAGGTATTAGACATATTAGTTTATTAGACAACGTCTATACAATTTTTTAACAATTTTTCTATGTGAAACTGGAATGAGAATTGGAACAATGCGTTTTGTAGGCCTCTGTAACATATTCGCATGCCGAAAATTTCAACGAAATCGGTAGACATTGCTATGAGTTACAACTATCAATTAAAAATTACGATACTTTCGACCGGTAACTGGAAGAAATTTGGAGATCTATAAAACGCATTTTCTAAATTTTCGTTACAGACTTAGATAAAAAGGTTAAAAAATGTGAGTTTTTAGTTTTTGTTATTCCAAGCAATAGCGAGACTAAAAAAACGTATTTTAGTCATTCTACAGTAAACTAGTTCTCGTAATGTCTTCAAACCATTCACGTCATTTCAAAAGGAACACTCTCGTTGGCAACTGTACCGAGATCTATAGATTTGCAGACTCCGTTCTTGCAAAATACAGTCGAACCTCGGATATTCAAAGTAATCAAAATTACTCGAGTCACTCGATCAAACTGCTAGATTATATATTTATTGTTTTGTATAATAAACAGTGTTGCATGTATATATATATCCATTTGTTTACGTGCATAATGTGTTTGGATGTTAACGAATTCAAATATTGGCGATTTGGATAATCGACGTTCTACATAACAGATCAATAAACACTGCTATATCATTTTCGATTTATTAAAATTAATAAGTCGAAAAAGCATAGTTTCGTTCAATTTTTAATTCTTACAGTCGATTGAGAACATTTTTATTATATAAAGATCTGCAGTCTATATGCAGTATATATAAAGATCTGCAGTCTTATAATAACGTTTTTAGCGCATGTATTACGTGAACTAATAAAATAGGAAAATAATTGAAAATAAGTTTGTACAACATCATTACGAACAGAGGAAGAAGTTTATACATACATACCATGTATATACCTACGTATGTATGTACATATTCATTGCATTGCGATGATCCCATCGATCATGAACGAGTTATGTTGAGTATGCGCGTAATTAATACATCCACATATTACTCTGACAATATCAAATGTATGTATATCGATTCTATACTATGCTGGCCAGAAGCAATTCAGTTCGCAAGAGTACTTCATGAAAGTGGCATTGAGTCCAGTAACATGATACTACTTTCATCAATAGCAACTGCAGCGCATCCGACGATGCATTCATAACACTCAAATATACTGCATACATGCCTAATTTCAGCAACTTATGCCACGTAACGACAGGGTGGCCTACAGCTTCAAACCCGATTCTTTTTTACTGCTATGCTTTATATTATTGAAGAATTATTGAAAATCCTATCGAGATGATAAACTATTTTTTTTTATGACATGGTAATATATAGTTTATGATTTTTGTAAAAGTGATCCTGACAATGCTGACATCTATGAATCTTTGTGAAGCCAAAATGAAATTACGAACCATACTGGACTATGCATCAACTCATTACTGTTGAAATCTACCTACGTATATTTATGAATCAAAATACATTATTCTATGGCATTCTTGTTTCATATTTCATGCAAATTGCACAAATCTTGCCCACTTTACAGAAATGTAATTATTTCCTGATATTATATGACATGAATAGTCATTGTAATTGAAACTGTGCTTAAAATTAGCCTTGAATCAAATGATAGTAAATGATTGCAATAATTGAAATCATATTGTAGGTATATTCTCTACTGCCATTGTTACACGAAAACATTGTTACACATAATTTCCTCAGTCTTCTCAATTTAGATCAACATTTATGCATTACAAAATTAATCCTCATCCGTCCCTCTTTTCAACAGCTTAATTTGTTCTTAACCTCTTGCCGTACTTTAACGAACCTGACTCGTCATGATGGAGATTTCTGTTAATAATCTGTTTAAATATGAATGTGATTCTATACGTTTAAGTCGGAATAAGAGTCTGTTCGCGGGTAATCAATACTTAAGCATTCGAATAAATGTTGGCGTACAATGAACATGCATTTTCTTCTTCTTCGAAGAATGTATTGCGATCGAAAAATTTCCAATCATTGTAATGATGAATCTGTCGATTAATTTGATACTATGGCAAAAATTACTAAGAACGATTGATTAATTTCGTAAATGTCTACTTTGAGAAACAAAACCTCGAGTTAAATTTCTTCAGTTTTCTGTCGAAAACAATCGGAGATGTCGCATAACAATATGCGAAGGATACTCCATACCAAATTGTCACTCTAACAGTCCAAAAATAAGTCAGTCACTTAAGGAAAATATCCCTTCGAGCTATTCGCAAAATAGAGCCATAAACAATCGAAAATGTATTGAATAATTGGTAGGTTAATCGGTAGCAAAAGAATCTTTGAAAAATATTAAACGGCTTTTTTATATAACAATTTCAAAAACAAACCAAAAGATGACCCACCCTATGATAGTAGACTGTGAATATCAATGGAAACTGTGCGAAGAAGGAATCATAAGGGGAGGCCGTAAACTTGACATTAAAAACAACAAATGACACATAGTTGCGGACGCGCAGTTGGTACCGGCGGTGTCTCCGTAAATTACTGAAATTCGTAGGAGAAGCCGTAAATACTTGGTTATCATACTTGGCGGAAGCATGGA